CTCTCTCTCTCTCTGCCTTATGATTGTTGTCTCAACGTCTTAGCACTCAGCTACTGCTCCAGCATCATGTCTGCCTGCCTGCTACCATGCTCCCCGTCATAATGGCCATGCACTAGCCCTTCAAAACTGTAAGCAGTCCCCAGGTAAATGTTTTCTAACTTGCCTTGGTCATGGTGCTTTGTCACAGCGGCAGAAAATTAACTAAGACAATAACTAAAAGCAACTTGGGGAAGATGATCTGTTACCAAGGGAAACCAGGGCCGGGCGTTGGTGGCGCACGCCTTTAATCCCAGCACTCCGAAGGCAGAGGCAGGCGGATCTCTGTGAGTTCGAGGCTGGGCTGGACTGACAGCCTCCAAAACAATAGAGAAACCCTGTCTAGTAAAAAAAAAAAACAAAAAACAAAAAACCAAGGGAAACCAGGGCAGGATCTCAAGTTGGAGGCTGGAACTAAACTATGGGGTCTGCTGCTGCTGACCCACTTGACTTCCTCTGGCTTACTCAGCTACCTTCCTTATACAACCCATGCCCACCACCTAGAGAGAGCACTGCCCACAGTGGGCTGGGCCCTCCTGCATCAAATAGCAACTAAGAAAACATGGCCACAAACCAATCTCACTTGGGCAATTCTTCAGTTGAGAATTCCTTTTCCCAGGTGACTCTAGGTGTGTCAAGCTGATAGCTGAAGCCATCTACTAAAATAGACTATGGTCAATTAATGTTTTCTATTTTTTTTATTTTGTAGCAAACTTTGAAGTCTTTCCCTTCTCTTGAGTATTCTTAAAAGAAAATTGCACATATTTTCTTCTATGCTTTTCATTTTATTTGCATCCATGTTTGTACATATGTGTGTGTACAAGTGCATATGCACTTAGGGAAGCATGCACACGGAAGTTCATGGGTGTAGACTCAAGGGTCGTTCCCCAGTAGCCACCACCTCTTTTTTTGGGATATGAGGCTCACCAATTAGGCTAGGATGGCTGGCCAGCAAGTCCCAGGAATCCCCGCCTCCACCTCCACAGTGCTGGCATTACAAATGTGTACCACCACACCTCATTTTTTGCATGGGTTCTGGAGATTGAACTTGAGTCCCCATGCCTGCACAGCAAGTACTTAACTGACAGAGCTAGCTCCCAGTCCCTGTAATTTCGTATTTTAAAGTCAAGTCTTTTATTTTTGTATGGTATGAGTTTTTCTGTGAGAAGTTACCCTACTATGTACTATGGTTCAAAGTAGCAAAGTATGTTATATGAAGCTCCCAGTCCTCCACCCTCCAGTGAGCACTTCCTACAGGGGTGCCAGCCCCCAAGAGGACTTCTCTCCATACTGTACTCCACAAGGGAAGCCTTCAGGTCCAGTAATTTTGTAATCAGAAGGCATAAAAGCATAAGATGAGGAAAGGACTAGAATTCTTCTGGGTGTCACCTAACCAGGCAAATAGTCTCTCACTCTGTAATTTTACATGTATGTATATGTATGTATGTAGGTAGGTAGGTAGGTAGGTAGGTAGGTATGGGAGATGACAGAGGATCCAGGCTTCTTAGAAGTACCACATATAGCCACCAGATGGCGCACAGCACCTCTCCATTCTCACTCAGTTCATCCAGAGCCCTTGGGGCCTCCCTCCTTTAGCTGCAGAGACCAGCAGGTGGCATTTCAGAAGAGCAAAAAGTAGGCTAAGTGTGTCGACCCCAGTTTCCTGCTCTCTTTGTGTGGTATAAAGACAAGATGTGAAGTCAGTGGAAGTGGGCAGGTGGCAAGGAAATAGGTGGGTCCAGATACCCAGCTGTGAACTGTAAACTGCTCAGAGATACCCACCTGCCCAGTATGCTGCATCCTGGTCAGTCACACCATCTTCTGTGTGCCTTTTGGGGTTTGTTTGTCCCCATGGCTTCTGCTTCTTGAGCTACTATGCGAGCTTGAAGGCTAGACCAATTGGTGCCACTTGGATCCGCTCAGCTCTGCCACCCGCACTTCCACACATAAGCACGCATCGCTTTGTTAGCCCTTGCTTGTGATCCCTAACGTCTCTGCAAACATGAGCTCCATCCACGACCTGCTAGGCTCCAAGTCTTCCCTGTAGTGTGGAGTCCCGTACAAAGGGAAGACAAACATCACCAGTATAACACCATGTCTTCACCTTCCTAAGAACCCTAAAGGCCTTTCTCCTTAGTCCTAAGAACACTAAAGGCCTTTCTCCTTAGTCCTAAGAACCCTAAAGGCCTTTCTCCTTAGTCCTAAGAACCCTAAAGGCCTTTCTTCTTAGCTGTGGTTCTTGTTTCATTTTTGCTGAGCTGGGGGTTGAACCAGCATCTCAATATGCTACACCGTTGCGGTATCTTGGGCTATGTCAGCAGCCCCAGGGCCTCTCCATGGTAGGCCCTTGGTCTGATTCTTTAACCCTTGCACTGTGCAGCACCAGGCCTGATAAAGTAAACCCTCCAAGTCCACATATTAGCTTGAGGCTAAGGCAGAAGGGTAGGTTCCTCGAGACCGGCCTGGTTCACAAGAACTCAAAAGCAGTTGGTGACGCACACCTTTATTCCCAGTACTCGGGAGACAGAGGCAGGCGAATCTCTGTGAGTTCGAGGCCAACCTGGTCTACAGAGCAAGTTCCAGAACAACCTCCTAAATAATACAGACAAACCCTGTCTCGAAAAAAAAAAAAAAAGCAGTCTGAGCAAGTTTAGTGATACGCTGTCTCAAAATAAAAAGTAAAAAGGAATCTTGAGATCTAGTTCGGTGGTGGAATATTGGCCTGGCATGAGCAATGACCTGGGTTCAAACTCCAGAAATAAAAAAACAAACATAGAAATAGAAAGCTCGGGAATCTTTCGTGCAGCTTGAAGTTCAGTGAAGTCTGCCTTACGTTTCCTCACACAGAACACAGGGAGGGGCTGCCAGGAGGGCTCGGCAGGGAGGGGCACCTGCTGCTCTTGCAAAGGACCCAGATCCTGTTTCAGCACCACAGCAGGTTGCTCACAACTAACAGTAGCTCCAGCTCTGGGGAAGCCACCCCCTCTTTTGACCTCCAGGGGCACCTGCACACATGCAGTGTATTCACATGGATTTACACACACTGCAGAATGTTTAAAATAAATGCGAACTTAATTTGTTAATCAACTTGGGTGTGGTCATCATCTCACAAAGCATATGCTTGCCAAGCCGTACATTATATCGTATATCTTAAATATGTGGGGATGGGGAGAAAGCTCTCATAGCAGAGTCTCTAGAACCACTTAATGTTTATCTGTTGGAGACTTTGATTTTACAAACAACAGAGCTAAGGTGGAAGGGAAGGGTTTACATGGAAGTTGGTGACAAATTCGGCCCAGAATTTTGACCTCCTGCTTCCTAGGGCTTGAACTTGCTTCAAATTGTTGAACAAGTATGTCTACAGAGTTTGCAGTGCCACCCACAGCTGGACTGGGGACCTCAAAGGATGCAAACACTGGGTGAATAGAGCATAACCCAGGGGCCCTCGCTCCCCTAGCCTGGGCTAAGCTATACTCACAGGAGCACTGGCTTACTTCTCAGAAGGTAATTTTTAATTTGCTTTTTAAAAAGGTAAGGTTTTTGTTTGTTTTGAGACAGGGTTTTACCACATACCCCTCGATGACCTTGAACTGGCAGCAATCCTCCTGCCTCTGCCTCCCCAGTACTGGGATGACAAACATGCACCACCATGCCTAGCTTAGGACAATTTTTGAGCAACTAAATTTCAGATGAGTGTAACAGGGACAAGTGAACAGGTCTGAGTCTAAGGTCACCTCCCCAGCATGTGAAGCTCAGTCCATGGTGTAACCTCTACAAGCTTTGGGATTCTAAGAAATGAAGGAAAGAACCAAATTGAGTGAAGGTCTGTTGAGATAAGGGGTGTGAAACACTGACTGAAGTCCTAGCCCGTAGCAGTGCTTAGCAGTGGCTTCTAGTGATGCAGTGATGTTGGCCCAGAAGGCCTGGGAGAGCTGCCTGTGTGCACTTTCCTCCCAATTGCAAGTCTCCTGATGTCACGCTTTTGAAATTGGCCATGACAGGGATAGTCCCACCATAAACACTAGCAAACGCTACATACCGGGAATCTCCTGAGCAGGTGGGAGAACATTTGCCAGTCACTTTGGTGGTCATCACTGTTCCAGGGTGACACAGCACCCCCGCCGCTGGAGAGTGACCTCATGCACATCTGTACCACATTGATGTAACTGGTCATCATAAGCAGTTACTTCTGCAAAGTAGTTTCTTTATTTCCCCACCCCAAGCTTCCATTTTCAGAGGCTATGGGCATCCCCAGGAAGTCCATGTCACAGCATGGTAGGGAATGACTCAATTCAATCAAAATGGTCCACTGGCTGGGTGTGGTGGCATGCACCAGTAATCCCAGTACTTGGGAGACTGAGGGAGGATGATCACAAGTTCAAGGCCAGCCTCAACAATACTCTAGGTATCCCCGCCGGGAGTTGGTGGCACACACCTTTAATCCCAGCACTTGGGAGGCAGAGGCAGGTGGATCTCTGTGAGTTCGAGGCCAGCCTGGTCTACAGAGCGAGTTCCAGGACGGCCTCCAAAACCATACAGAGAAACCCTGTCTCGAAACACACACTCTAGGTATCCCCATCATACTCTCTTAGAGACCAGCAGCCAGCCTTTCCTTCCCTCCTCTGAGCAGAAGCTGGGCCAGCAGTTGCAGGGTCTCAAGAGGCACTCTTGAGGGATCTGTCACCTGTCTCCCACCGTGCGTCTCTCGGTGGACTCAGGGCCCTGTCTCTCTTCTTGAGCCCCACATGACCAGGCTTAGAAAAGTTCAAGCGAGGCGCACCCTGCAGGAACCCCTCGCTCACTCACGCTGGAGCCCGGTCTCTCCCAGACCCCCTTCCACCTAGTGACGAGACTTTGTGGGCCGTTGCCAGAGCCACGAAATGCGCTGCGAAGATTCTAACTTCGAGAAAACCTGGGGTAGGCAGCTTCCCTGGAAAGGGGATGACTGCCATGAGCTGACCAGAAAGAGGAAGTGTGGTCAGGCTGATGCCTGCTGCCTGTAAGGGTGAGTGAGGGTATGTGGGCGAGCAAGGCCTCACCCAGCCGTGCTTCAGTACAGCCCTCAGTCCACTGCTGTCGTCCCAGCTGCTCGCATCGACACCCCGGCAGTCCGGGTAAGTGCTCCAACTTTCCTGAGCGCGGACATCTTGTTTTTTGCACCTTAGTCATCTGCCTGTGCTGGTGTTAGACACGTGGCCAAACCAGCAACCTCTCAGGACTGTAGCCTGAGGCTGTGGTACATTGTCGGATGCAGCTGGAGGGACAATGGCTTTGAAGAGTCCACTGTGCTGTTGCTGCTGTGTGACCTCAGCCATCTCTTCTCCAGTGTGGGCGTGCCAAGGATGATAGAGTTTACCTTTCAGGCTGGTTAGCATTTGGGAATGATGTGTATAAAGTGTAAGGTGTTGTCACTGTCTGGGTAATGACGGTGAAAATTGGTATTCAGTTGTTAAGGGACCCTAGCAGCACTGTGCTGTGGCTGCCGAAATGCTAACTTCGTAAACTGAGGCTACATCTTGGGGCTCTTGGATGAAAGAATTAGAAGACCACGGCTCTTGGTATCTTTGTTACTCAGTGTCTGGTACCTTCACAGGCCTTGGGACTCAGGTGTTGGTTAGGTTAGTGCGAGATCTTAATTGAGCCATCTGCTTTTGGCCTCTGAAAAATTATTTTTTTGTTGTTTGTTTTTGTTTTTTCAAGACAGGGTTTCTCTGTGTAACAGTTCTGTATGGAACAGTTCTGTATGGAACTAGAACTTGCTTTGTACACCAGGCTGACCTTGAACTCATAGAGATCCTCCTGCCTCTGCCTCCAGAGTACTGGGATTAAAAGCGTGTGCCACCATGTCCAGCCTGGAAAATTAATGTTGATGGAAGCCTGGATTCAGCTTTCCTGTGTCCTATTCCACTGCCTGGACACTTGTACTCCCCGACCTCTCTTTAATCTGACTGAGACTGCTTAAAAAAGATTTATTTATTTATTTATTTATTTGGCTTCTTTGAGCAGGGTTTCTCTGGGTAGCATTGTAGCATTGGCTGTTCCCTAACTCAGAGATCTGTCTGCCTCTGCCTCCCATTTGCTGGAATTAAAAGTGTGTGCTCTCACCACCCCCACAAAAGGATTTATTTTTAATTGTGTGTGTGTGTGTGTGTGTGTGTGTGTGTGTGTGTAGGCCAAAGGCATCAGATCCAATGGACATGGAGTTCCAGGTGCCTAACATAGATACTGGGAGTCAAATTCAGATCCTCCAGAAGAGCAATATGTAGCCTTAATGCCAAGCCATCTCTCCATCTTTCCACCCCCTATGCACTTGCTCTAAGCCTCTTCCTTCCTCCAGGATAAACTGGAGGCTGTGTGTGCAGGTGTCTGAAGGAGCATTGAAAGGGGCCTGGCTGCCAGATGCAGTGGCCACAGCCCTGTGCCAGAAAGCTGGAAAGGGAGAACGCTGAGCCCAGAAGAAAAGATAGTCCCCATCTTCAAAAAGAAAAAGGAGGCTGGAGAGATGGCTCAGATATTAAGAGCACTGAAGTCCAAAAGTTCTTGATTCTTTTTTCAAAAAAAAAAAGGAAATATTTTACTGCTGTGTATGGATGTTTTTCATGCCTGTCTGTCTGTGTACCCACATACGTGCCTGATGCTCATGGAGGCCAGATGAGGACGTCAGGTCCCTGAAACTGGAGTTACAGACGGTTGTAAGACACCATATGGTGCTGGGAGTTGAACTTGGGAATCTCCTAAAAGAGAGACAATGCTCTTAACCACTGAGCCACGGTCTAGCTCCTGAAAAATCATTTTTAATCTATTTATTATGCAGCTGAGGATGTGGGGGGATCGGTTTCCCCAGAAGTTTGTCAGTACACAGTTACAGTCCTCCCTCTCTCCCTCCCCTCTTCTCCCTCCCTTCTCCTGCGTCTCCCCCTTTTCCTCCCCTTCTTTCCCGTCTTCCTTTTTCCCTAGGAGATGGATAGATTTCCTAACTGTGAGCAGACAAAGTTGCTAGGCAAGCGATAAGCTGTGATGACTGGGCATGTATGAATAGAGTAGAGTCCTATGAGAAAATAAATCAGAATCAAGATTAAAGTGCAGCTGCCCTGGTTTCGTAAGCTGTCACACTAACAAGTACGCATATAGCAGCGTGACAGTGCAGCCGACTGCCAGTCCAGGATTGGCCCCAAACACTGTGTTGACACAGGAGGCATCACAGCTAGCCTACCAAAAAAATTAACTAACAAAGAAGATAACCACACATAATGCATAAGTACCCTCACCCCGCTAGTTCCACAGGATTTGCACTCTGATCTGACTTTTTAATGGAACACTAACCACAATGTCATCATTATATAGTGGGATAGCAAGTGCAGAATACAGACTAAGGATATGAGGATCATAGTGTGTTCCCTTTCTTCAGGGTTTTCTATTAAAACATTTTTATTTTGCTTTTTCAAGACAAGGTTTCTTTGTAGATTTGGAGCCTGTCCTGACTGTCTTAGAACTCACTTTGTAGACCAGGATGGCCTCGAACTCATATAGATCCACCTGCCTCTGCCTCCCAAGTGCTGGGACTAAAGTTGTGAGCCACCACCACCTGGCCCCATTGAAACATTTTATAGCCAGGCTTCTAATCTCAGCACTTGAGAAGCAGTAGCAGGTGGATCTCTGTGAAGTCAAGGCCAGACTCTTCTACATAGTGAATTCCAGGACATTCAAGGCTATGTAGAAAGCCCCTGTCTCAACCCCCCATTTAAAAAAAGGTCATTTTATAATTTTGTATATAAAACAATGTTAGAACATTCATTTACAAGCAACTTGATCAGCCTATTTACTTTAGTAAAATATTGCATAATATTTTAAAGAAGCTTGGGCTAGGGAGTGTAGCTCAGTGGTACAGTGCCTGCCTTGTACGTGCAAGAGAAGGACCTAGGTTTAATTCTCAGCACTAAACAGACTGAGAAAACCTCACAGAAATTCGCAAAGGAAACATCGCCCACCATACAAAAACAAACAAAACAGCAAAATGTAAGTATCATAACAGCTAACCAGTCATGACTGCTCCTTCCAAGTGACGGCCTTTTCCCTAGTTGGAAGAACACACAGTTCTCAGAGTGGGAGGTGGGGGCACTTCCAGGAGTTGCAGTGTCTAGGCTTTTGTTCTTTCTTTCTTTTATTTATTTATTTTTTCGAGAGAGGGTTTCTCTGTATTGTTTTGGAGGTTGTCCTGGAACTCACTCTGTAGACCAGGTTGGCCTTGAACTCACAGAGATCCACCTGCCTCTGCTTCCTGAGTGCTGGGATTAAAGGCGTGCGCCACCAATGCCCAACTACATCTAGGCTTTCTAGTGGAATAATATTTGGAGTCCTCAGCAAATTCTAGGAGCCTGATTTTGTAGTTCAAGAACATCACCTTTTAGTAGCTATTAATAATTTAAGAAGTTATTGGTGAATGACTCTTTACAAAAAATGGAAGTTATACATTGTATTCCATCTGACAGGAGAACTGAAGATTGGCTCCAAAAATAGTATACTCAAGACCCATCTGGAGTACCTAGGCTCTCTCAGCATCAGGCAGTAGGAGAAGGATTGGAGGGCAGGAAGTCTCTGTGCCAGTACCCCCTGCATCTGTTTCCATGTCCCTCCTTCAAGCCATCAGAATAAAAGGATTTCCAAGTTTGAGTGTGGAGAGTTGACATTTTCTCCATTTTATTTCAGTTTTACTCTAAACAGTATATCATGCATCTATAGGAAGCGCTTCCATTTTATTGATTTTTGCATAATATCTAAATAAAAAACACAATGCTTGGTATGCAAATGCAGACTCAAGATAGTCTGCAAGCTCGGGAGTTTCTGTATATGAGTCACGGCTGTCACCACCTGGAGACCCACTGGTTTGTCAGTTCAGGACTCTGAGCATCGTAGCTTTAAGCTGACAGAGTGAGCCCCAAGCCAGAAGGCCAGGCAGAGCGCAAGGTCTCTAGAACTGCGGGTCCCTTGTAGAGCAAAGGCTCAATGGGACACAGGGAGCCTGGGGGAGTGCCCAGGCTGTCGTGGCAGGCGAGTGCCCACTGGTTTGGATCTTGGCCATGCTGGACTAACCTTGGGAGCTCATATTTCACCCTGTTTGACTGGCAAGGAACTACAGAAAGACAACAAGGGTCATATTCATATGAGGCAGCCAGCAATGGGCCAAACAGGCGAGGGGACAGCAAATTGGCCATTTGCATAGATGACTGGAACCCGGGATGGTGCAGTGGAGTGGAGGGACAAGAAGACAGATGAAGGCCAGGGAAGGAGGCGAGGTGTGGAGGCTGAGGGGAGTGGGAATACGGGCTTGGGGGCTGAGCTCGCCTGCCTTCCACAGGAGGGGAAGACGAGGGAATGAGCAGGGACACTGGACTCTTTTTATTGCCCTGTCCACACTCCATTATAAGTTGCCACTTCCAGTACGCATGTCAGCAAGGTTGTCAAGGTAGCCAGGTGGGAACACGGACTCCCTGACCTTCAGTGACGGGCTGGCAACCAGACAGGAACCAGGCAAGAACTCATGCTGACAGGCTTGGGAAGCACTTAGCTTCCCGAGCCTTTGAAATCAGCTCCAACCCTCACCCCACGCCCTGCTTAAGAGCCTTCCAAGCCCTTGCTAGCAAGTGTGGGGAGCCCCTCTTTCCTCCTAGTCAGCACGGGCTCACAACTTCTGTGGGTGACACTGCACTGCACTGACTTCTCATGTGTGAACCGAAGCCCCCTTCCTGGTTCACACACCGCCAAAACACAGCCGCTCGAGAAAGCATTGGTAGATGTGGAGACCTTCTCAAGGAATGCGTAGGAGACCTCCAGAGGGGTGCACATATGGAGACCTCCAGAGGGGTGCACAGTGCATCTGTGAACTGAATGCGGTCCGGCCATCTTTGCCACTGCATACCTGAGCACCTCTGTCAGGGCTTCTCCGGGTTTTGGCAGCCGCGGACTTGTCTTTTCTTCCTCCTGTCCCTCTTCTCATACTTGTCCTTCTAGGCCGCCAGCTCTTAATTCCCCCTTTACACTCCAAAAGAACCCAACACTCCCCAGTTCCCACCAGCAGCCCAGCTAATGGCGGTGGGTATTCTGTAACCTCCCAGGA